GGATTTAACCCTCCTGGTGGGATGAGGAGCTTTGTGGAGTGAAGGGCCCGGCTGTGCTACCCAGAAGGCCACGGGAAGTGTCGCTCCAGAGGTAGGAGCCCGGGACTAGAACCTGGTACAGATAGGGCAGTAGCTCAGTGCAGGACCCACGGCTGTGCTACCCAGAAGGCCACGGGAAGTATCGCTCCAGAGGTGGGAGCCCGGGACTAGAACCTGGGGCAGCTAGGGCAGTAGCTCAGTGCAGGACCTTGGCAGATGCCCCAAGCTAAATGGCGTCGCGCGAGTCTGGAAGGGCAGCAGATGCCCCACGGGCTGGTTTCGGTGACTCTCGGGTGCTGTCTCCTCAGTCTGCCCTCAGCTCTGTGCCCCAAGAGCGCGGGAGGCGGCTCTGCACTATAGGGAGCAGAGCAGGGGCCGGTCGAAGGGGCCCTCCCACTGCCTCCAGTTCATGCAGCGCCTCTAAAGCAAGGCTGCAGGGCGCTGTGCTACAAGGCAAGGGCTTGTGGGTCCTCGGGCCGGGATCTTGCCTGTCACCTGGCGGACCCGGTGGGGCGGAGCTTCTCCGATGAGGGAGCATCCCGCCAGGGTTTTCTTTCGTGAGAGGTTTGGCCTCACTCTCCATCTGCCCTTTTTACCGCAGCAGGGAATTCAGGACAGGGGCTTTGGGGGCACTGAGAAGGATACACAGCCTGCCTGAGTCCTGGCAACACCTTGGGGCAGGTCTGGCCGGGAAGAGAGCCGAGGAGTGAAAGACGCGCGTTTCCATCATGGAGATCCAGCCCCGTCTCCTGTGGGCAGTGGTAGCCTCAGTGCTGTTGGGTAAGTGCTCACCCTCACAAGGGAATCTCCCTGATGAGACCACGATGGCACGGGAGGGAAGGGAGTCCGGGTGACCTGGCCTGGGAGACTTACAGTGAGGACTGCTGGCACCAGGTCTTCCTACCGCACTTCAGAGCATCTCAGCCTCCAGCGCCCACAGACCTGTTAGGCACGCAGGTAACAGGGAGCTCGTGAGCGGAAAGGAGCATGGCGATCCCCAGGCTTGGGGGCAGACTTGGTCCTAGGCTGGGTACTTCCCCAGGCAAACGGGAAAACGGGAATCACTGAGGTTTAAGTGGACCCTAATCAAGGTGATCTTAGAAACCGGGATCCGAAATGAGAATCGGTCAATGGCAGCTGGGGGGTCCATGTACAGACAATAGCAGCAGTGGCAGCAGGCTGGATGTAGGGCCCCCTTCCCTATGTAAAAAATGTTATGACCCCTGACCTGGTACTGAGGAGTAAAGGCGATCAGGACCTGGTTACAAAAGGCACTTTCAGCTGTGAGATGGTGGGGAGGAAGATGGCAGCCTTAACTGGAATATTAGCGAGGGGACTCCCTGAATAAATAACCTCAGAGACAATCTCAGCAACCTCCTTCCCCTCTCTCCCCCTCCTTTACAGCAGGCTGCAGCCTGGAAGACAGAGTTACTCAGCAGCAGGCATTTGCATCCGGGCTGGAGCGCGGATCCGTGACCCTGGACTGCACCTACGAGACCGAGGAGACCTGTTATAATTTGTACTGGTACAAGCAGCACCCCGGGGACAGCCTGGCTTTCCTTCTGTGGGAAAATTCTAGAGGATCAAAAAGAAATGAGGCAGGGAAGAGGTTCTCGGTTGATTTCCAGAGTTCCCACCGCTCCTTCCTCCTGAGGATCTCCGAGCTTCAGCTGGGTGACTCGGCCACGTACTTTTGCGCTTTCAGCAGAGGCATGATGATAAAACTGAGAGAGAGCCCTGTACAAAAACCTGCCGCTCCTTCTCGGTGTGGGAAGCTGACTGCTGCTACTGATGTCAGAGCGCCCTGGGACAGGAAAGGGATGTGGGGAGCAGGAGAGCTGGCTTTGAGGTAAGAGTGGGCCCCCTGCACCTGGCTTCTTGGAACGGGAAATCTCTAACAGATTTCCAGGGAAAGCTGACAGCAGGACTGTGCTTAGAAACATGCCATGAGAAGGAAAGAGCAGAGAAAGACAAGGACCCCCCTGCTCCTGGAAGACTTAAGTGGATGAATTCGGACTGGGAGAAAGCCACAAGTGCTGAACAGGTGAGGTAAGCACCCGCTGGAACAAGTCATTCTGCGATTTCCCTTCACCTGGAGCTCATCAAGCAGGAGGTTCCTCATCGTGTGCTGTCACTCATCTGAAAGCTATAAACTGGATTCGGGATCCCTGGATGACGGTCATTCGGTTGTTTTATGGAGGAGGTCGGACTTATAGTCATAAAGGTCTTTCTTGGATGGAAAATGTTTCAGTAGGGTCCAGTGGTACCAGCTGGCCCCCTACAAATAAATCACCCACCTCCTGACTTAACCTTGCGCTCTACTCAGAATGTCACCGAGGGACACTTCAAGGGCGAGTGGCTGGAGACTGGTCGGAAGAACTCCCTGGACCTCGCTGGGACGTGAATGGGACACTCCAGCTACTACGTCTGCGGGATGGATGCATAGTGACACGGGCAGAATCGGGCATTGTCCAGGAACCACGCCCTGTCCTGGGCAGCCTGGAAATGGGGGACACCACGTCAGATCACGGGCAGTTCAAACAAGACAAGACTAGACCAGAAGGGAGGTGTTCGATCCGAAGCACATGCACCCATAACCTTGAGAAATCCCCAAAGAATGGGTGCCTTCTGTTGGATCATTTTCCCCAGGGGAAGTGGCCACTGTGGGACAAATACACCCACCCTGTTGAGATGGAGGTCCCGCAGCTCCCCGCAGCCATTCATTCCTAGAGACGTGCCTGCAGGGCATCGATGACCACGACCTATTGGAGTCTGAACAGCCATGGATGACAGGCTCTGTTCTGGTCCTCCTGACACCTCGGCATGGAAGCTCATCTGTACCCATGGGACTGGAACATAGGCACGGGAATCCCCCCGTGATCCTGGAAATTGTCACCAGCATTGACCAGGGTCAAGGATACGGTGCACGGGAAGGACAATGGGCTGAATGGGACTGGAACATAGGCACGGGAATCCCCCCCGTGATCCTGGAAACTGTCACCAGCATTGACCAGGGGCAAGGATACGGTGCACGGGAAGGACAATGGGCTGAATAGCCTGACACTGAGAAGAGAAAGGGACCGTATAAGAATGCAGTTGGTGCACTCTGGAGAGAGGAGCTGAAAGGGCTGTGAGGTGGCCCTGTCTAGCGGGCAGTAGCAGCCCTGGCGGGCAGTAGCAGCAGCAGGTGCAGCGGCAGGTCGATGGGGATGTGCTGCCATCTAGCGGCCGCTCCGCTTTGCTCTCCTGTTGGCCACCCTTCCGGGAAAAGAGTGTGGGCGAGGTGATCCCCACGGCGGATCTGCTCAGTCCCTGTCTGGTAAAGGAGGAGAAAGAGGGAGATGGGGGAAGAGACAGACAGACAGAGGGAGTTACTCATTTCACGGGGATATCTGAAAGGTCATGTAGAGACAGACCCGGTGTCCTTTGCACACGCAATGGAAATATCTCCCTTCACTCATACACACTCAGGAAGGCACGCACACCTGCCCCTCACATGCTCCCACCTTCCCAGCACCCCCAAATTCACACTCCCGCTGTGCTCATTCCCGGCATGCAGACTCACACCCACGGACACACAGATCCCTCTCTCGCGGACCCACGTTCACGCCCCAGACATAACTTGCGGGTGTTCAACATGTAACTCCCACACCCAGGGCACTCGCCCCGCAGCCACACATGGCACCGTGCTTCCCTGCGGGCACACGCAGAGTCACCAGAGAGCTCAGGCCAAAGACCTACACATTGACCCTCTTCATCCCCGCTCCGACTCACCCACAAACTCACCCAGGGAAGTCCTAGCAGCTGTAAGGGAAGAGCAGCAGCGGTGGGATCAGCTCACTCGGGCCCTGCCTAAACTCTCCCCTGCGCCTTGTGAGAGGCAGGGCGCTAGTCGCGGGGTGGGGCGGGGGTGGTGTAGTGACCGAGTCTGGCCTCTTGTCTTCGTGTGCTCGGGTGAGTGTCAGTCTCGGAGGGTCACAGACAATGCCGTCCTGGGGGAAGGGGCGGGAATCGGGGCATTTCCCTGCGCTTTGGACTGCCCCACAGAGCCGGGCGGAGAGGCCACAGCCCCTCCTGCATTTGGCGGTGGCTGCTGAGTTTGGCCTGTGGCTCATCCACCCTCCCCGCGGGTTGGAAGTTTCTTTAACTGTGTTCCGGTCGGAAATACCGGCTGCCCCCTCTCCCCCGCCTCCATGTGTAGAGATGTGCATTTACCCACGCAAGTGTGCACAGGCTGATTTGCCCCGGGCCCTGCACCCTGCTAGGGTCGTCTCTGGTCACAGATACCAGGCACTTGATGGCGAGTACACACGACACCCCCAAGCTTCCCCCGTGGGACCAAGTCCGAGTATAGCAACTCCGTGTCTCTGGCACAAGAGGAATTGATTTGCAAACCATATTCCTCTGGTGTCCTTTCTGTCCCCAGGATTCCACCCCATGGCCCTGGTTTGTCATGACCCGGGGCAGCAGTGGTTAAAATGGAATATAGAATGGGATGGCACGGGATGGCATGGAAGAGAATAGAATAGAATAGAATAGAATAGAACACCAAGTGGCAGGGCTCTGGCATGCAAGGTTGAAGGGACTTGTGTGGCACCCTGAGAACCCTGTGAGGTGTCAGCATGCCAGGCCAAGCCCCAGATTTTGGCCTGTGCTTCATGTGGTGGGCCAGTAGGGGGCGCTCCTGCGTTGAGCTGCCCACCTCCCTGCGCCCGACCACCTTCCAGGCTCCGAGTGCCTCCCTTGGGGTGCCTCCCGTCCGGCCGGCCCCTGTGGCGGACCTGTAGGGGGCGCTTCTGCATTGAGCCGCCCACCTCCCTGCGCCCGACCACCTTCGCACCTTGGAAAACACAGGCCTGATCGTCCAATGGGTCCTAGACCCAATACAGGCACTTGGGGCACTTCCCCAAGTCAGGGGCTGATTAAGGAAGCCTCCCTTAGTCCACAGACCTAAGGGGCCTCCTTGGCATAATTTAGACCGACCCTCAATAAGTCTCCCACACCGGTCTCAAAGGAGAACTTTATTGATTACAGGGGTACGGCGGAAACAGGGTAAAAGGTAGAGCAATATCAAGAAATCTTGCAGGAATATCAAAGGAATCCCATAGAGCAAACTAGGGGGGCTGAGGTAGCCGTTTAAACATGCATCTGAGTTACTGAAGCTAAATATCTGATCGGATCTCTAATAGCTTACTCACTCGCATCATCCAGAGGTGGTTGCTGTTTCCTCTGGAGGCAGGGCACTCTTGGAGCATGCGGTGATGAGGAGAGAGCCAGGATCAGATTCACCTGGATGACCGCATGGCTCCCCTTCTTCCTGGCCCAGGCCTTTTTATAACCTCTCTGACCTCAGCAGCTGGTCCAATCGAAGCTGCCAATACTGGCCACAAGCCAACCAATCTAACAAGCATCCATGGCTCCCTCGGACTGTGCGCA